TCCCCAATAGCTTGACGCAAAGCAAGCAAGACCCTGCCAAGTGTAACATAAGACAGGAGCCTCGAAACTGTAATTCCCAATAGCTTGGAGCAAAACACAACCTTGCAAATTGCAGTTCCCCAATAGCTTGACGTAAAGCAAGACCCTGCCAACTGTGATTCCCCAATAGCCTGACACAAGTCAGGAGCCTCGAACTTGCAATCCCCCAAAAGCTTGATGCAAAAAAGGAGCATGCTGCAGTTTACATCCAAAAAATCGAGCCAACGTTAGCAAAGGACCCCGGGACCGCCAGCGCCAGGGAAAAAACCCTCCGCCCGAGTTTAGTAGCCAAGTTCGCAACATCTGCATGAATATGCCGTTTAGATGGCTTTGCTGGCGTTGCGTTGGGATCTGTTAAAGAACATCCCAATGCAATCAATGCCAGCAAAGCTCTCTAAACGGCATCAGCAGGCAGATCTATACCACGCGACGCAGTATAATTTCAGCGTAGTTCCGATCGTATCCTTGTAGGAACCGGCCTGTGCAGTTGTTCAGTTGTACTGGGTACTTGCCAACAACTTGTGGCTAGTGCCGGTTGTCGCAAATGCACAGTGCTGCGTCGGTGTTTGCAGTACAAGTAACACTTCCATGGAGTGCACCGTGGAATGCCTAGGCTCAGGTGTCCCGACATGAATGTGACTCAATGTGCAGGTTTCTTGAGAAAGACTGCTGCAATGTGTGCGAAGCACTCTCAAACTCGGCAGCCTCTTGTGATTGCCGAAGCAGTGTCTTGAAGGCACGCGCTGCTGTGGTCGTTGTGGAGCGGTATTGCCGCGCAGCATGTGGCACGCGTGGCGCAGAGTGGCAACTCCTCGTCGAGGTGGATTGTGAGAGTCTGCGCATGAGTAGCATGGACTGAGCATGGGTAGCACAGAGTCAGATCTTGCGAGTCAGATCTTGCGTATGCAATCATGTGCACAATGCGCGTTATGCAGCACAGTGCAGAGGCCCGACAAGATGGCTTTCATCGAGGCCGGTGTCTCCGTCGCACTGCTGCTGCCTTCCGCTTTTGCTCCACAGGACCATCGGCACAGGGCTGCACAGGCACGGTCTGGCAGAAGTTAGACACCGGAACGGTCTCATGAGGTGCTGAAACCGACTAACCGGATGCAAGAATCTGCGGCTTGGCAGGCCTTCCACGGATTGCCGCACCTGGCAGGTGCAGTTGTTGCAAGTCCGTAAGCTGCAGTAGACTACCCGTAGACTTCGCAGTGACAGTGAAGAAGACTGATACGCTGGGGTTTGTTTATGAGTCTGTTTTCTCCAGTTGCATGAGCGGAGGAAGTGCGAGCCTAGTGGATGCAACACGCTGTCATCGCGGTGTGATCCAGGCATGCACTATGTTTACGGTGACAGCCGTCAGCTGCAGAGCAGTGAGCTCACCCTGCAAGAGAATTGGGAATTCCCCGTTGGTACCAGACACTTGGCTTCTCTGTCTGCGACTGGTGGCAGGGCTGCTGTTATGCAGCTAAGGTCTTGGTTTTCAAAGTGTTCTTTTCCCACAAGCCTTCGGAAGCGGCGCCTTATCTCCTGCAGCTTGCCACGCCTTCACCAGTTTCTGGTTTTTGCGTTCGATCATTGACTCATTGACACAAACTATCACAAAATAAAGTAGGCGCTCATGGAGACTTCACCGTCTGAGGTCGGTATATCTGTTCTGGCTGGTTACAAGTACAGCTCTGTGCATGTGGAGGTTCCCTCAGACTATGAATTTGGTATTGATCACCAGGAGCGCAGCATTCTTGCTTTCTATTAAACTATTTCTGAGCATACCTCTTGATCCCAGCTGAGCTTTCCGCTGCAGGAAGCGATTGTCAAATTAGCATATTCTGACGCCACCCGCGAGTCTTGCGAAAGGGCTGATTACAACGTTCCTATGGCTCTCACCCAGAACAGCTCCGTAGCATCAACTCTCGGGCCGTCGCCTTAGTTGACGCCAGGGTCGTGTCGTCGAGTCGTGCACTCCAGGAAAAGCTTTCTTATCAGTGAAGCTGGTGCTGGGTTGAAGTTTTGGGGTCTGAACATCTTAACACACGACTCACCGCAATCAGCTGCAGGGAGAAGTACCACACCACTACCCGACAGCAACTTCGCTCCTTGTTGGGAGTTTGGGCGGCCTTCTTCTATCGAAGGCTCTCCCAGCCAAGGAGTGCAAGCCATCGTCGGCAGCGTCGGTGTCATCGGGTGAGCCAACCAGCAAAAGCCGAACCCAAGCAGACCACCTCAGCAAGACAGCAGCCCTTCATGATCGTTCCTTATCTGTTCCAGTTCGCGGATGTTGGCAGACTTTTTCCAGCCCCAGAACCCTTGAGCAAACGCCGGGGGCACCAGTTTTAGGGCTACGACCATCGAGAACTGCACTCAGACCCCAGATCTGGGCCTCCCATCGCGACGCTCGTGATGGCAGCTGGCAAATCCTGCAAGAATTTAACAGGAATGCGGAGTGTCAGAAGCAAGGTTGCTGGCTCCAGCAAGCAGCTAAATCAACTAGGCCAAGCCTCATTAAACTCGTTGATGGGTACTCAGAACAACTTGCAATCGTCTCTGCCATTGCATCACTGCCGGCAAAAGAGAATATTTCGACCCGGGGCTCTTGCTTGTACCGCGCGTTCAGCTCCTCTCCCAAGACTTTTTCTGAAAGCAAGACAAGACAAACAAGGTCGCAAGGAACCGAAGGACAACAATCCATTGCCTACTCTCCAACTTAGCGGTAAGAGGGTTGCACCGGCGACATGCTTGGTGCATCTGCTGTTGGCTCAGCAGCCGTGAGGCCATCGCCTTTGGCTTCAGGATCCGTGCTGAGCGTGCCACAGGCTGGCACAAATGAACCTCGGTAATACCGCCTTATGTGCACAATGTCATGCTACCTGGTGCACATAGGCCCTTGGCATCACGGCAGCGGCGCAGCCGTGTCACGTTGAACAGCTAAGGCATTGTTACGAGAGGTGCAGTGGCCACACTTAACATTCATGCATGGTGGCTCGTATGAGCTATGCTATTCACCTGACGGCTCCTTCGATGGCGACGAATGGAAGAATAACATTGTTCCCGTTCAGATTACAGTGGTCGGTGTCATCTCCGAATGCCTGTCAGACGGCTGCCTCGCAAGGGAGCGTTGGGATTGTTACCTTTTCTATGGAGGCGAGGATATCAGTTCCTGCCGCATCGACTTTCGACTTTTCGGCGGAGGTCGGGAAGGCTGGTCTGTACAGCTTGCTGGAGTAAGCCGCATATCCTGGTCGGAAAGTTGGGGTGACGATAGCTTTGTGGCTGGCGAGTTTGTCCCAGCAACACGGAAAGAGTGTTCGAACGTGATCACAGGGCAGAGCATCAATCCAGAGGTCCAGATTTTTCAGAGCTTCTCCTGGGCGCCGCCTTCGGGCTCTGGCCTGAATGCGGATGCTTCGACAGCGGCGACATTGCCTGGTTTGAAACCTCAATCTGCCACCAAATCCTTCACCCTGACTGCATGTTACTGTCCTAACTATGATGGCCCTGACCCCACGACGAGTGCCTGTGATGATGCGGGTGAGTTTATTCAACCAATTGGTGTTATTTATTACTGGATGGTTCGTATCTGCGATGTTGACACCTACACCTCTTGTGGCTCATCGAGCAATCCACCCTTCATGCGCGTTCTGCCGCAGCAGCCCTTCGTCCTCCGAGTCGAATGTCCTCCCGGGGGCACATCTTGTGCGCCTGCCAACAACAATCGAATCAAGCTTCTTCCTGGAATTCCACCTCCAGGTGCGCAGCACGCAGGTTTAATTTCTTCTGTTGCTGTCATGTGAAGCATAAGTCGAGCGAAGGTCCAGATGGCATTGTCCGAATCGAGGTGCCGGAAAGGGCTATCTGGGAGCCACAGTCGCGCTGCAAAATCGAGGTCAGCATGACGCCTGGCCTGTGAGTGCACGCTCGTTCCTTGTGATGTCATATGACCCTCCAACCCTTGGCGACGAAGCAAAGCAGCTAAAAAACATTATGGATGCTGAAACTTTCCATGTCAGTATTTTCCGGTCATAGTGCACGTCGCGGTGCTCTTCTTCAGCAGTGGTTGCTTGGCACTAAGGACCGATGACATTGGTTGGTTTCCGCCTTTAGAGTTCGATGAGTTTGGTCTTCTCATCGGCGGTCATGCACACCTGCAAGGAGGTAGGGCTCGGACGTGAGTTGAAGGTCCGTAGATCCTTCATCGCTTGATTTGTGCAATCCTCGGACAGCTGCGCAGCAGCGGCAGCACCGTCCAAGCCTTTCTGACAGCAAGTAATCTGCAGGTGACCGCCGTGACTACAAGTTCTGGGCAGACCCGGCCATGATGGGCTTGATGCCGATGGCGAGCAAAATCGAAGTTTGTTATTGTGATGATAACTGCGCAAATTCGTTCAACTTCTTCAAGGCCAATGCACGCCGTGAAGTCTTCTTGAGAAAACCGGACCCGAGCCAAGCTCCGGCCAGGTGGGCGAAATACGCGCAGCTGACTCGGCAGGTATTGCACGCTGGACCAAGTTGCCGAATCAAGGAGGTGCCGCAGCTGACTTAGTGACTTAGTGCAGTCCGACCGGTTCCAGATCGGTAGACGCATGTGACCGGGCTGGGGCCTGTAGAGGTTGGACAGATACATGTGCTGCGAGCGACCTGTGGCAAAAACTGCGGCTGTTCCCTGTGAGGCCTGATCCAGGAAATCGAGTCACTTCAATATGCGACCTTTCCGGCAGCTAGTTTTTTTGGAAGCATCTCTTCAGCCTTAGGCGAGTGTAAGGGTTTAACACACTGCAGCAACATAGTCGTTGTGAAAGTGTGTGCAGTTGGCTCTTCTCTGTTGTGTCGTGAGCAGTCGAAAGCGCTGGCGGTTTGGCCCAATCAGAAACGTTCCTTGAGTCCTACTTGCTAGGCACACGTTTAAAGCATGGAAAAACCGCGCGGTCAGTTCCAATAGGCGTGTACTGACTCAGAGACTCCACCTGCCATCACAGTCGGATACACAGGAACATCACCGCAACGGGTTCAGATCTGTGTGTACGTGCGCTTCGCCGGTTCCGCAGGATAGACTGAGCGGGCCGCTGGGCGACTGCGTGCTGACGTGACATGTGTGAGCTACCCTTCAAGAGCTGTTTGGGTGCCGGCAAATATCAGCTGCTAGACCGATGCAAAGACATGTAGAAACGCATTAAAGACTAAGCACAACTGAATCGTCTTCGACAGAACTTGATTGCTGCTGGCTACAAGTCCGTGTGAGCAAACCTTTTTTTGTCTTTGTCTGCAGATAGTCTGTTTTGGGTCATTCCTGCCAGCAAACACACTAACAGCGCCATGCGAACCGATGTGTTGGGATCTGCACACGACCCCTGTTTCCACTCAGTCGGCGGATTTGATACACCCAAACCAAACTCCAGAGTGTACTTGCAGATCTGCAAAACCGTTCATATCCATCGCATTCAACAGCACAACTGGATTCGCTTCACGATCAAATCCGGGAGTTGGCTCAACAACAATCTGAACTCTTTGAACAACTGGGAGAAGTAGCCAACGCTGTCGCAGATTTGTTCACCAAGTTGGAGTCGTGCGTAACACTGTATTTAAGGCAATGAATGATGTCTGGCGTTACTTTGACAGTTCGGTTCAGATGCCTCCTACATGTCGTTCGATGTGAATGCGCGCACAATGGAAGGCAGCTGTTCGATGTCTTTCGGACCTTGCACAATTAGGCCAAAGGTCGGGTCGAAGCAAAAGTTGAAGTCGATGATGATCCCGTTGAAGATCAAAACCAAAGAATTTTCAACTGCATCTTTGCTAACAACATGTTCAAGTTCCACTGGATGTTGAGAAAAGTCATCGCAAAGAAAATGTTAAAGTCGTCGATCCTCAATAATCCTGTGTGAAACAATGACAAGGCGGTTGTCAACATACCTAGTGCAGAAGAATAGGTTTTTTTGGAGTCAAAGAAACTTTGTAAATTTCGTACGTAGATCTCCTTTTTCATGGAAATGGTAAGTCCTGCCAACATAGGAGAGATTTGGTTGCCGATTGTAGCCCCGCGACATTGTCGAAAGACTTTGTGCATAACTGTGAATACACTTGCATCACAGCTGAGCGCACATATGTCCATCACGTCGTTGAGGTGAAGCTTTACAGTTCGCTTTGCTGCTTTCCTGGGACGACCGCGCCCGATACGTAGTTTTTGTTTTGTTCTCGAAAATCAACCAAAAATGAAGCTGTTTGTATGTCAACATTTTTAAGAAGACAGTACTCGTGCGTTCAGAATGCGAAAGACTGGAATAGATGTAAAGACTCCTATACTTAGGTCGGGCATTCAGGCACAGGCTAGGATTTCCCAAATGAATTATTTTTGTACACAAAAAGCGAAAAAAAAGTGCTTCGCAAAATGCGATGGAATTTGGAGATGTGCAAAAAAAGTGAAAAATGCAAAGAAAAAGTGTGGCAAGCTGTACTGGTGGCTGGTGCATGCCTGGGTTGGGAATATAGAAAATGTAAGAAAAAAGTGAAAAAAAAGTGAAGCCAAGAGAGAACACGAAATGAATAAAGACATGAAGCACATACACAAGTGCAGCAGCTGCTGCTAGTCGAAGCCAAATTAGCGGCTGTGGCTGGGCTGGGCTGGGCTG